GTTCAGTTCCCAGCACCTACATGGTGGCTCACAGCCATCTATAAAGGGTTCTTCTGTCAGATGCCCTCTTCTGTCATCAGGTGTACATGCAAATAGAGCACTCATATACATAAAATACATAAATAAATATTTTAAAAATCTTTTAAAATGTAATTTTAAGTTAGTTGGGTGGTGGTGATGCATGCCTTTAATCCCACACTCGGGAGGCAGAGGCAGGCAAATTTCTATGAGTTCAAGGTCAGCCTGGTCTAGAATGAGTTCCAGGACAGCTGGAGCTATGGAGAGAAATCATGTCTTAACCCTCCCCCCAAAAGAATGTAATTTTAGGAGGCATATCATCTCATTAATAAACAACAATGAGATATACCTTCTCCCCCCTTCAAATTGACCATGATGGGCCTGATGCATGAGTGGATACTCTGAAGAGAAGGGGAATTGGCTTGATGGTTTCAGAGTAGTGTTGTCAGTGTTATCAGAGTAGCAAATACAAGGTTGTTTCCCTCTCCCTGTTAACCTTCTTTGAAAAATTTACCCACAAAAAACATTTGTTCAAGAAGGAAAAGATCAGCTGGGTGGTGGTGCATGCCTTTAATCCCAGCACTCAGGAGGCAGAGGCAGGTAGATCTCGGTCTACAGAGCGAATTCCAGGACAGCCTCCAAAAGTCACAAAGAAAACCTATACTGGAAAAAAAAAAAGGACAAGATCTGCGTTTGAAAATGTTGATTTCTCTTTTTTTTTTTTTAATTCAGAGCTAAATAGATGACACAGTGCATCAGTGAGGGATGCTTGAGGAGGTTGTGACTGCCTGTAGGCACTCTGTGGCCAGTGGGAAGGGAAGGCCTGAGTAACATCAGGGCTGAGTGGCAAGAGAAAATGTTACATTTTTTAATATGTTGACAGTTTGTGGTCCCTCAACACAACAAGCACAGTGGGTGGAAAGAAGTTCCAGAACAACCATATCTGCATCCATTGCCCATGAGAGCTGTCAGCACCTTCCTGTGTCAGTAGACCATCTTGTCCCAGAGTTGTGATTTCTCTTGACTGAATTTTTCCTCTTTGTATTTACTTATACTGTGATACATTTCAGTGACCTTGGCACTGGTTTGAAAAGCAAACATGGCCATAACTTATTTGGACAGCTCCAGACTGGCTTCTGCACTAGGAGGTGTAAGTTTCTACGCAAAAGTAGGCTGACTTCCCTGTGGACTCACCCAACACACCAAACTGTGTCTCTGTTGTGGTCCTTGTTGGTCCAGTTTCAAGCCTCCATAGGGAGCAGTGTGTGTGTGTGTGTGTGTGTGTGTGTGTGTGTGTGTGTGTGTGTGTGTGTGCTGGTTTAGTATGGGTAAGGGTGGGGTGACTGTGTCTCTGGAACTGGGCTGGGCGTCCTTCCTTCCTTCCTGGCTCCTTTCTCCTAAGGGACAAGTGGGAGGAATGTCCTTGCCTCTCCCAGGTCATAGGATGAGCTATTCCCCTAGGATCCTTTTAGGCCAGGCCTCTTAGTAAAGGCTAAGGAATATGGCTCCCAGTTGTTTCTGTGTGTATCCCACTGTTCGAAATCTGACACAGACATAGCAGGGAGGGCTTATGGAGATGAGAAGCGCCCTGGACACCAGGCATCTGGCAATCCCTTCCTACCCTGGGCTGTGACTGGCCAGTGAGGATCCCCCAAAGTGACCCCTGCCCTGTCAGATCCAAGCCCAAACACAGAGTGGGCCTTTGGTGCCACCGTGTGGGAAGTATACATAACGCAGTTACAAACTTACCCATGCCAGGAGTGCCCCATCATCTAAGTCCTGTCTCCCTAATGGGGTGTGCAGTGTACAAGCTCAGTTGGTGTGTCAGTTCTTCTTACACTCAGACTTGGTCTCAGCTCAGGCACCTCCTCCACAGCCCAAAGCCTCTTCAGGAGCGACACATTCCCTGTCCCTTCACTTCCTAGTCCTCACTCCTTCCTGTCCCCATCTTCCCCTTTTTAGAAGATCCTTTTGGCTTCTGTAACTGCTACTCTAGGATTTCTAATTGCTTCTCTCTTGCTAGTTCTTTTTCTGGTGCTTGGGGGCTGGGTCCCCTTCCCTCTTCCTTGATATTCCAACAACTTCCAGGACCTTACTTCTGAATTCACATAACACATTGTGTTTTAGTCTTCTCTCTCTCAATCCTTTCACTCCAAACTCAATATGCAGAGTTGATCTGATCTCCTCACAACTGTGCCACTGTGATCATTTCCCTGACACTTGAGTCATTATGCTCCAAGAGAGCCTCTACCTGTACTACCCTGCTCTTAGCTATGTATCTGAGAATTGATTTCCCTGAGTTAGTCTAGTCTTCAGGGGTGGATTGCCTCTATAGGCTGTGCCCATCCTCACTTTCTTACTGGTCCCTCATCTCTGACCAGTTCCTCCCTAAGAGGGCCTAAGTTCTGCCAGACTGAACTTCATGTTCTCTAAATGCACCCCCTTCTCTCATATCTGTCTTGAGCACCTGAATGCCTTTTCTGGTTCCTTTTCCTGACTCACACCTGTCTATCTGTTAGGTCCCAGCTGCAATGTTAGTGCCTTTTAGATAGTTCCTATGAACTCCAGGTTTTGTCAGGATTCTTTCCTTTGCCCTCAAGACATCCTGTATTTGTTTCCTCTATCACTATCATGAACTAACTGCCTGTTCTTACCTAGAGTAACCTACTCCACAGCCACATCTAGGCTGCCAATTGTCTATGCCCCGAAGACCCAAATATATATATTAAAAAAAATGGAGTTTTCTGGGGCAGTGGTGGCGCACGCCTTTAATCCCAACACTCGGGAGGCAGAGGCAGACGGATCTCTGTGAGTTCGAGGCCAGCCTGGTCTCTAGAGCAAGTGCCAGGATAGGCTCCAAAGCTACACAGAGAAACCCTGTCTTGAAAAACCAAACCAAACAAACAGCAACAACAACAACAACAAAAACATTGAGGAAGGCCATGATTTCTTCACAGTAAACCAGTGGCCAAGTTGATTCAGGATCCAAGACTTACCTTTCTTTCCTAGGCTTCTTTGCTCCCCAAGATACCATTGTGAACTTAGGATCCTTGAAGGCCTGATAAGACTTGACAAGAAGAGTATTGTTCTAGGTGCTCTTGTCCTTGAGGGACAGCAGCCATTAGCTTAGGCTCATTAGCACCTAGGGGGCTGTCCCAGGATGCCAAGGGAGCTGGTATTCAGTGACCACAGGTTAACATATCTGATGACATCCTAGTGAGACTCCCTTTTCCTTCAGAGCTATGCAGTGGGAATGATGGCCATACGTCATTCAGGGAGGGCCTGAATTCCTAAAAGGTGCTGGTGGCAGCAGTTATGGGTCCCAGGTTAATTATTTCTAATGTCATACAGAAGAGAATGTGCTGAGTGGGACCTCCCCCACTCATCCTTGGCTTCCCCAGACCTATTCTACCCATTACCGGATTGGAGTTTAAGGTTATTTCACTATCCCTCAGCCTTTGAACAACCATTGTGCTCCAGTATCACGGGAACTCTCCGCTGAGAATTCAGGGTCCCACCTTGGGTCTTTGATACTGCTGTGTCCTCTGCCTGCCCTCAGTAAACAGAACCAAATTTCTCTGTAAGTGAACAAAAAGTGCCAAAGAGGATGCCACTTGGCACTTAGGAGGTGCCCCTTCTACCTTAACAAATTTACTAAGCAAACAACCAAAAATAAATACAAAGGATCCATCCTTTTTTTTTTCCTTGTGACTCTGTTCACCAAACTACTTTCCTTGAACTGACTTCTTTAGAATAGCCACCCAAATCTCTGCCATTGCTCCCCTCCCAAAGCTGCTTCTTTGTCACTTAATACAAATGTGATGGCATGCTCAATGATTACTTGCTGCGTTGTGAGTGGCTAGAAGCCTGTGCCCTGAGATATTTTTTTTCCGCTCTTGCCTTGTCTAGACCATGCCATCTTGGTTGTTTGTTTCAGACGGCCCAGATGTGCAGCATCTCTCGTCTGAGCTGCCAGGATTCACTTGCTCTCTCTAGTCTTTCTTGCTGCTGTTTTTCTCTGAATTTTTAGCATGGAACAGTGGCTTGACAGCTTCACACTAAAGTGGAAAACTTTCCCTGAGAGCCCTCCTTGCTTCCTTCCTGGAATCTGCTTACTTCCATCTCCCTGGCCTATAAAGCCCATGACTCATTAGGCAGCCAGGAGTGCCTTCTCCACTGGGATTTCTCACAGGAAACCTGAGAGCAGCTCAGGCACTGCTGTTTTCACACTGCCCACACTTGGCCCTGGCTTTTCTTATCTAAAACCCTGATTTGTTCTATCACAAGAGGCAGCAGAGTTGTTAGTTTTTCCCTAGATTTGGGCACCCTCATTAAAACAGGGCTTTGTATCCAAGGGGCCCAGAATGGAGCTTCTGCAGAACTTTAAAACTCTCCCAGTTTCAAAATCCTACAAATCATGAAACCATCTTTGTTTCGGTGTCTGCATAATGACAGTCTTTGGATCTCCCTAGAAATCTAGAAAACTATAGGATTTGTATACAAACACACACTTTGAGAGAATCTATGACAGCTGGGTGAGGAGTAGGGTGGGATTTTGATAGAATGACAGATGGGGTTCATATCTGAATGGAATGTGCAGTATCTCAGCAAATGTTTGAAAGGCTGGAGGAGTGTTTGTGTTGAATTCCTGAGGGTTGTCAAAGGCCCAGTAGAATTTTAAAAATGCTTTATTGTTGCTGTTTTGTTGACAGGGTCTTGTTACGTACACAGTACAGGCTGGCCAGGAACTCACTATATTGCCCAGGATGGTCTCAAATTCCTGGCAATCTTTCTATCTCAGCCTCCCAAGTGCTGGGATTACAGATGTGTGCTCCATGCCCAGCTAAACATATGTTTTACAAATATATTGGTGAAAGAAGGCAAAGTTATGAATGTGGTTAATGAATTAAGTAGGCTTAAATGAAGTTTGAAAAATCACCTTTAGAGTTCACTCTTTTTCCTTTTTTGTTTTTTTGAGACAGGGTTTCTCTGTGTAACAGCCCTAGCTGTCCTGTAACTCACTCTGAAGACCAGGCTGACCTTGAACTCACAGAGATCTGCTTGTCTCTGCCTGCTAGGTGCTGGGATTAAAGGTATGAACCAACCATAGCCTGGCTTAGAAGTTACTTGTTTCTTCTTCATTAGAACACCCTGTAACAATAACCATCAGTTTCTTCTCCAGCCCTATTTTTATTTCAGACAAATTTTTACTAAGTCTCTCAAATAGGCCTTGAATTTTTTTTTTCCCCGAGACAGGGTTGCTCTATAGCTTTGGAGGCTGTCCTGGAACTAGCTCTTGTAGCCCAGGCTGGTCTCAAACTCACTGAGATCCGCCTGCCTCTGCCTCTTGAGTGCTGGGATTAAAGGTGTGTGCCACCACCACCCACCCCAGCTTTGAACTTTTAATCCTCCTCGTTTAGCCTCCAAGTAGTTGGGATTACATGTGCACATCACCACTTTTGGCAATGCTTTTAATATGTTTCAGAGCTATCATTCCTCAGCCATTAGACTCATTTACTCACGTGAATCAAGCCAGACTGGGGAGGCTGAAGCAAGAAAACTGCTGTGAGCTAGAGGCCAGCCTTGGTTACATAGTGAGTGCTGGGCTAGCCGTGGTTATATAGCAAAATGTCTCAAACAAAAATCCCAAAAACAATGACAGCAAAGTTGTCAGAATCACTTATGCCAAACCCTAACAAAATGAAGGAGACCATGAGGTAAGAGTTCTAATGTACACATGTGCTTGATAAAAACTATTTTAATGACTTCCAAAAAAAAAAGAAAGAAAAGAAAAAAAACCACAACTTTGCACAAAAGTAAACACACACACACACACCACACACACACACACACACACACACACACACACACACACCACCCCACACTTCTATAAGGACACTTACCTTGAAACTGCTTCTTCAGCCTTGAACAGATGCCAACTAGTTGATGATCTTTGTAGAAAAAGTAATTATTTCAAAACTACTTATGATACTTCATCTTAAAAAATCTTTGTCCTTCCTTGTCTCTCTAGGTGTGCCTATGATTCATTATAGCATGCATAGTCTCAATTGTAATCCTCAGTTTATTCTTTTGTTGTTGTTTTGTTTTGTTTGAGACCGGGTCTCTTTATGTAGTCCTGGCTGTCCTAGAACTCCTTATTTAGACAAGTCTGGTCTCAGTCTCACAGAGATCCACCTGCCTCTACCTCCCAAGTGTTGGAATTAGAGGCCTGCACCACCACACCCAGTCTTCTGCTGCTTATTTTTAAGTATATTCACTTGCGTGGAGAACTACTTTCTGGATATTATTTCAAATTGGCTCACTTATTTTGCCTTGATCTTGAAACATTTTACCCAAGACATAGTATGCGGGAAAGTAAAGGCAGAGTGCCTAACTTAATAGCTTATGAATTTCAAGACAACAGCAGGGCATGAAACTAATCATAGACCCTTTGGAGCAAGGAGTCCATGCAATTATGAAGTTACTAAATGATGCTGAGATGCTAATTGAGCTTTGACAAACTCTTGAACTAAAGTACAGTCTGTTCATATGAAAACTAATTATGCACCCATCCATTGTGCAATGTCTGGGTGCTTCTGACTGATGTTCATCAATTCTAGAGGAACCTCTAGATTCCAATTTAGTTCTCTGAGAAGCAGAGCTACACACACAGCCTGAAGTCATTTAGCATAGAGCTAGTTTTTGTTGTTGTCATTTTCTGAAATCTGATGAGGAACACAGAGAAGACAGAGCAGGGTGAGGGTAGAGTAGAGGGGGTGAGGATGAATGAAAAAAATAACAAAATGAATTAAAGGAGGCTTATAGGAATTCCTTCCAGTGGAATTTTATTTTGTGACCTTTCTCTCTCTTCCTTCCAGGTCTGGGCACCAGATGAACGAAAAATATAAATAAAAGGACATGGCTGCTCCTGAGGAGTTGAGGTTTTTATTATACATAAAAGGGAGAGAGAGTACAGGCAGAGACAGAGGCATCTGGAAGAGTGCAGAAGACTGAACCAGGCCATGTGAGAGGGGTAAAGGGAGAGGGGAGAGGAAGAGACAGCAACCTGGGGCCAAGAGGTCAGGAGTGAGCTAGGAGACCAGGAGACCAAGAGGGCAAGAGAGGAGCATAGCCAAAAGGGCTGGGTTATATAGGGAAGAGAAGCTAGGGGAAGGCCAGGGACTGGAGAGGTTGTAGGTAGAGGGTACGGTGTGCCATCCAGGGTGTCTCCATAACAGGTATTGGCAATGCTGAGAGAGGCCAGCAGACAACGTCTGCTTTGATATGTTAATAGACACCTCAGCCAGTTTGTCCCAGGTTTGAGACCTAACGTGTGTGTGTGTGTGTGTGTGTGTGTGTGTGTGTGTGTGTGTGTGTGTGTGTGTGTGTAAAACAGAGACCATGTGACAGGCTATGAGGAAGTTCCAAAAGGGAAGTGCAGGTAAACATGTAGTCACAAGGGGGCGTATATTTACTTTCAATAACAAAACACTCAGAAAAAAACCTGATTATTATTACATACCTAGCATATACAAAATATTACTGACTTCGGTATAAATGTATTATAGAGCTGAAGATATAACACAATGGCAGATCATTGTCCAGCATGCCTGAGGCCCTCAGCACTACAAAGAAGGAGGAGGAGAAGAAGAAAGAAAAAAGAGCCAGTAGTGGTGGCACATGCTGTATTCATACCACTTAGGAAGTGGAAGCAGGAGAATCAGGAGTTCAAGATCATCCTTTACTATTTAGCAAGTTCAGTGTCAGCTTGGGTCACTGTGTCTCATAAGAACAACAACAACAAAGCAATGTGTACTCATTAGAGAAAATCAAAGAAGACAAACCCTTAACTACAGAGAGATGGATAGATGATAAGCAAGCATCGTGGAGATGCAATGACAGAATACTTAATTTTATTTTTTTTAGATTAGTGTGTGTGTGTGTGTGTGTGTGTGTGTGTGTGTGTGTGTAGGTGGGAATGTACAGGTGCCTGAAGAATCCAGAAAAGGCACCTAGGAGCTAGAGTTGTAGGTGGATGTGAGCCTTGAAGTGTGGGTGCTGAGAGGAAACTTAGGTCCTTTGAAAGAGCAGTATGTGCTCTTAACCACTGTGCCATTGCCATTTCTCCAGCTCTAATTCAGTTTATGAAAGGATCTAGATAGTAGGCATAAAAAAAAGTTTACTCAGCCGGCATTGGTGGTGCACACCTTTAATCCCAGCACTTGGGAGGCAGAGGCAGGCGGATCTCTGTGAGTTTGAGGCCAGGCTCCAGAGTGAGTGCCAGGATAGGCTCCAAAGCTACACAGAGAAACCCTGTCTCGAAAAACCAAAAAAAAAAAAAAAAAAAAAAATTGTCTCTTAGCCAGTTGATGGTGGTGCACACCTTTAATCCCAGCACTTGGGAGGCAGAGGCAGGCGGATCTCTGTGAGTTTGAGGCCAGGCTCCAGAGTGAGTGCCAGGATAGGCTCCAAAGCTACACAGAGAAACACTGTCTCAAAAAACCAAAGCTGCCTTTATTGACTGTGTCCTGCTCCTGGGAAAGGTGGGATTAATATCCAAGCATGAAGGAGCTCATTAAACTTAATAAAATTCTGCAAAGAACGGACAGCTGAGAAATGTTAGTCTTATCAATATGTGCAGTGGTGCTGTAACCCTGTATTGACTGTGGATGGAAGGATGTCCTCAGATTTCCCCCATGCACTCACACACAGACACAAACATGCACTATTTATTGTCTCTGACACTAGCTGCTTACACCCTGTAAAGGGGCTGGGTCCAGTGAGATAAAATAAATAGGAGTGGGTTTTTCATTTTTCCTTTTACACATAAGAAGTCATTTCCTGCCTTCAGGTTCCTGCCTTGACTTTCCTGGATGATGGACTATAAGCTGTAAGCTATAAGCTGAAATAAACCTTTTCCTCCCAAAGTTGCTTTTCATCATGGACTTTATCATAGCAATAGAAACCCTAACTAAGATAGGTACTTAGATGAGGTACGAACCCCAAATCTTCATACTTTAAAATACCACATCTTTCCTTAGGCCTTTCTCCCAAAAGCCCCAGAGAAAGGAATCATGTTTGTCCCTCCTGAACATACCAACAGCTTTTGCTAAAGCCTTGGGGAGAGGGACTCTTGTCTCTATCCCACATTTCTGTCTGCATACCTCCTTTAAAGATCCGATTCCTTTGTAATCCACAGATTTCAGCTTTAACAGTCAGTGGGGAACTGAGAGACACTGTGCCCATTGTCCTATTGTGCCCCTCAAGAGCCCTAGTGACAGATGAAACCAAAGGCTAGAACTGGAACAGTAACTGCTGGCATTGTTCCTGCCTGCAAGCTGGTGTTTGCCACCTGATACCTTGATGGGACCCAAGCACAGGTAAGAGTCTGCCAAGCCCAGGATGTGATTGAGGTGGTGTGGAGACTTGTATGGCCCAGGGTCAATCTCACCTCCTTTTCTCCAGTAGCTCTTGGACACAGACCATTGCAGATCCTTCATTTTGGTGAGGACAAAGCCAATCCTGCTGTTCTTGCTATGATCACTCTTATATCCCTGATACCTTGTTGATTCAGGCTTAAACTGGCTTCCATGTGGGCATGAACCTGACAATTTCTGAAACTCATCTAAGTATACAGCCTGTCTCCTACAGTTCAGAGTATATAAATCTCTGATATGTTCAGGTAATTGGAAGGAGGACATGGTGAGAAGAGAAACCCTTTTACAGTAGATGTCAGGCACCAAAGCCCTCAGGCTTTAGGCCAGAGTATAAGAGTTACTGTGAGAAAGGGGATGGGCTGTTAAACCAGAAGCAGAAGCCTAGGGAATCATGTTTGGAGAGCAGGTTAGATTCTAAAACCAGCATTGATTTATTTTCAGAAATGTCATAAACTTTGCATTCATTCAGCTAGTCAAGTGCAGTTACTGCTTTTGAGAGACAAAGGCCTATCCCTGTTAGTCAACAGGGTGATACTGTTGAGGGTTTTATCCTTGGATGCAGAGATAGCAACCAAAATATAGCTGTCTACTGGATCAGCTTTCGATCAGAGTTCCTTCCTCACACTTGCCTGTGATGTCTATTCTTGGTTGTCAACTTGATTACATCTGGAATTAACTAAAACCTCCCAAATGGAGGGCATACCTGTGAGGGATTTCTGATTAGTTTGAAGTGAGAAGATCTATTTCTAACTGGATCTTTGAGGTAAGAAGACATACCTTTAATCCAGATCTAATTGGGGCCATGCCGTCTGTTGGAAGCCCATATAAAGACATAGAAGAAGGAAGATTTTGCTCTTTGCTGACTTGCTTTCACCTTGCTGGCAAATCCACTCCTTCACTGGCATTAGAGCCCATTTCTTCAGGATTCCAGTGAATACTGAAGACTAGCTCAGACACCCAGCCTCGTGGACTGATCAACTACTAGATTCTTGGACTTTCCATTCATAGCTAATCACTTTTGGATTAGCTGGACTACAATAATATATATGTAAATGTATATGTATATATACATGGACACACACACACACACACACACACACACATATACAGGGAGGGGAGGGCAGAGAGAGATTCATTCATTCCATAAATTCTGTTACTCTGGAGAACTCTGACTTCAACCCCAAGGACCTCAGGCAAGGGAGGGGATTTGAGTAGGCCCAGGCAATGGAAGGAATCTGGTCCAGTTCCCCTGACATCTGCTTCCTTGCTGAGTCATATAAACTTTTCTGTAAAATGAGACTTATCATCTGCTAGGCTGCCAGGATCAGAGACTATTGTTGTCAAGGCTTCTTTCCTTCTTGTCTAGTCATTCCCCTGTCCTAGGCCTTCAAGAACTGATGAGAAACACTGACTGAATCCACCATCTCCCAAAGAATGGAATTCTTTTTTTGTGTGGGGGGAGGGTTTCGAGACAGAGTTTCCCTGTGTAGCTTTGGAGCCTATCCTGGCACTCACTCTGGAGACCAGGCTGGCCTCGAACTCACAGAGATCCGCCTGCCTCTGCCTCCTGAGTGTTGGGATTAAAGGAGTGCGCCACCAACGCCCGGCAAGAATGGAATTCTTTAATCATAACAACTTGAGAGGCAGAGACAGGTGGATCTCTGAGAGTTCAAGGCCAGCTTGGTCTACAGAGGGAGTTCCAGGATATCCTCCAAAAGCTACAGAGAAACCCTGTGTTGAAAAACCAATAAATAAAAAATTAAAATTAAAAAATTAAAAAAACAGAACCAAAAGCTGAGTATAGTGGCACATACGGAGAATGCCTGCTCTTGGGAGGCTGTGACAGGAGGATAATACAAGTTTGAGGTCAGCCTGGACTACATATTGAGTTCTAGGCCAGTCTAAACTACAGCCTAAGACCCTGTATCAAAAATTAACAAGAGGGCTGGAGAGATGGCTCAGGGGTTAAGAGCACTGGCTGCTCTTCCAGAGGTCCTGAGTTCAATTCCCAGCAACCACATGGTGGCTCACAACCATCTATAATATAGTCTGGTGCCCTCTTCTGGCCTGCAGGGACACATGCAGGCAGAACATGGTATACATAATAAAGAAAAAAATCTTAAAAAAAAATTAACAAGAACCTCAGAGAACTAGTAATAGTAGAAGTGCTTTTCACCACTATAATAAAATATCTGAAGCAGGACTTTTATGGGGAAAAATGCTTAGCTGGATATAATGGTGCAGCTATAATCTCAGTACTTGGGAAGCTGAGGCAGGAGGATCAGGAGTACAAGACAGTGGCAGCTACATGAGACCTGGTAGTTGATAGCTACTGAAGAGAGCGAGTTATTTTTCTTCATTGGTGTCACATGCATTCAGGCAGCACTAATCGGACTCTGGGTTATTAAAAAAAAAAAAGTTTTTGAAGGGGACTTGTTAGGGAAGCTCCAGTGGTGTTCAAGGGGAATGAAAGGATATATATGATCAAAACATGTTGCATATATGTATGAAGCTATAAAAGAATAAATAAAAATTCTATTACAAACCAAAGGCTTATTTAGCTCACAATTTTAAAGGCTGAAGAGACTATGTGGCAAATTGCAGACTTGGCAAGAGTCCAGTGACAGATGGCCGAGTACAGGCTAGGCCACACAGTCACCTTTCCAATATGTGAGGACTCAGGCATTACGCTGGCCTGCCCCTGTCACCTGGCAGAATGCACTCAGGCAGCCCAGGGTTCCGTTGTTGTGTAGTCTGCACACAGGTGCAAAGGACCCCTTTAAAGAAAGACCCTGCCCACTTATGCTCTCTTTCCCACTCTTTCCTGCTGTTCCCCTGGGGCAGACAGACTGTTCTGTCTCCTTCTTCTCTTCTGTCCTCTCTCTGTCTCTGTGTCTCTCTACCTCTTTTCTCTTTCCTTCCCCGCCCCTCCCCCCTTTTTTTCTAATAAAATTTCTCACTTAAGCTCTGTCTGCCTGGCATGTTTGTCCCCCACCTCAGTCAACATCGCCAGCCATGGACTCCACCAAGATTCACCTTGAGCTTTATCATAACACAATAGGCAGTGGGGACCTGAGTGGAGCCCCGCTTGTCCCTTTTCTAAGAAATCAATGGCAGGGAACTTACAGGTTCTTGGAAGATAGCTCCTCCATGACCTAAACCTCCAAATAGGTCCTTCTTAAAGATTCTACTATCCCTCAGTACTGCCCTCTGGGGGTTAGACTTTAACCACAAAAACCTGCGTTGGGGAGGGAGGCAAACTATACTCCAACTCTAGCTCTAAGGAAAGCAGGACACATTAGAAAGACAGAAAATATTTTTTTTTTGTTAACTAAATTTTTTTCTTAAGATACATTTTCAGCCGGGCGTTGGTGGCGAACACCTTTAATCCCAGCACTCGGGAGGCAGAGGCAGGCGGGTCTCTGTGGGGTTTAGACCAACCTGGGCCACAAAAGCTAGTTCCAGGACAGCCTGCTAAAGCAACAGAGAGAACCTGTCTCAAAAAACAAAACAAAACAAAAATACATTTTCAAAAGGAAAAAAAAAAAGGCAGAAGACTCTAATTGTAACAAAAATTGAATTGAGGCTGGGGGTGGTGGCATACACCTTTTATCACAGCTCTTGGGAGGCAGACAGGCAGGCAGATCTCTGTGAGTTCAAGGTTAGCCAGAGATATATACTGAGACTCTGTCTCAAAAAATAAAATAGGGTCAGGTATGGTGGTGCACGCCTTTAATTCTAGCACTCAGGAGGAAGAGGCAGGAGGATCTCTGTGAGTTCAAGGCCAACCCGGTCTACATAGTGAGTTCCAGGCCAGCCAGTGCTACATAAAGACCCTGTCACCAAATAAATAAAAGTAAAATAAATTGAATTAAATCAAAGATTGCTTATTTTCAAAAATTAATATAGGTAGGGACGGGAGAGAAGACTCAGTGGTCAGAGCACTGGTGCAAGTGTGAGGACCAAAGTTTAGATGCTAAAACTCATATAAATGCCAGGTTCCCATGACAACCCACCTGTAATTTTAGTGCTTGGAAGGCAGAGACATGGGATCCACAGAGTAATCTGGCTAGCTAAACTAGTGTGTGGGTGAGCTCTGGGTTCAGTTGAGAGACTGCCTCAAGGAATAAGGTGGAGGGTGATCAAGGAGGAGTACAACTTTGGGCCTGCATGGGCACATGCACACCTAGAAAAGTTACTCTACCTCTATCAATCTATTGATCTATCTATTATAGATCGATAGATAGATATAGATATATGTATACACAGGGAATTATGTCAAGTAATTCAAGCCATGTTTAGGGCAACACTGGAGGGCAAAGGGGATTGGAGTGGCAAAGGGTGTAAACATGTTGATTTTCTCCCCTGGACTCTACTTGCACTTATGGATGATACTGGTTTCTATGGCAGCAGATTTTCTGCGCCCATGAATACTCACAGAAGTTGTACAATGGAGTGATGGCTACAGATGCTTGCTGATGACTCACTAGCTGAACCTTGGAGGATGGCTGGCTTCCCAGTTAAAGTTGAAACAGAAAAAGTTAACTATTCATTGGGCTGGACCTTTGGGAGAGAACCAGGTTTGAGACAGAGTATGTGTTAAGCAGTGTTAACCATACTGAGTAGTAAACAGTGTGTCAGTTATGAATCCAAGGAACTTATACTGCCCCAGCCCTCCCTAACTCCTACTCAAGTTTCATGACCAAAGAAAGGTCTCCTCCCCTAGGAAGCCTTCCCTGAGGCGAGTGCCCAAACTGGACCAACAGGTCCTTGGACATTCTTGAGTCAAAGTACTTAGCCTGTTGAAGTTTGTTTGAGACAGGGTCTCTCTATATAGTCCTCACTGTTGAGGTTGGCCTTGAACTCACAGAGAGATCTGCCTGCATCTGCCTCCTGGGGTTAAAGGCATACCTAGACACTTAGCTTTAAAATAACAACAGTATTTTATAATGTAGCTTAGACTGGCCTCAAGTCATGACCTCTCTCCTACTTGCAGCATTACAGATATGTGCGTCTGCACATGACTTATGTCACTATTTTATTAACATTTTATTTATTATGTATACACTGTTCTGCCTGCAGGCCAGAAGAGGGCACCAGATCTCGTTATAGATGGTTGTCAACCACCATGTGGTTGCTGGGAATGGAACTCAGGCCCTCTGGGAAAGCAGTCAGTGCTCTTAACCTCTGAGCCATCTCTCCAGCCCATGTCACTATTTTTTCCCTCAAAGGGGGCTCTGCAACGTCCACCAAATCTTCCTGTGCTGGTCCTGGGCCCTTCCCCATGTGTCCAGGGCCAGAGTGTAACCGTTCATGTGGGATGGGCTCTAAAAGTCCCTTCTTGCACCAGGGAAAAATACTAATCCACCACCAGAGGCTCCCTGGAGTGCAGAGGCCTCCATATTGACATCCATGTTCAGGGGTCTGGATCAGTCTTGTACTGGCCTCCCCGACAGCATCTGGGGTCGATGTGCTCTCCTTTGTTCAGGCCAACTGTTCCTGTGGGTTTCTCCAATCTGGTACAGACCCCTTCGCTCTTCATTCCTCCCTCTCTTCAACTAAATCCCCGATTTCAGCTCAGTGTATTTCTGTGGATGTCTTTCTCTGCTTCCACTGGATGAGGGCTCTAGTTCCTGGGTCGGTCAGCGGAAAGGTTCGTCACTATATTTTTAAAGTTGACATTTGTAGTGAAATATTTTCTTTTCTTTTTCTTTTTTTCCCCCCGAGACTGGGTTTCTCTGTAGCTTTGGAGCCTGAACCTGGAACAGCTCTGTAGATCAGGCTGGCCTCGAACTCATAGCGATCTGCCTGCCTCTGCCTCCCAAGTTCTGGGACTAAAGGTGTGTGCTACCACCACCTGGTCCTTTTAAATTTTCTATATTTAATATTTTCAAATTATTTATGTTCAATATACAATTTTCATTTGCCATTTAGGAAGTTCTTTATTGTAAAGATAATTCTTTTATCTAATGGCAAACAACAGCTATGATAATTATCCTGGATCTCCACATTGGATGAATTCTTTCTTAAGACAGTTCCTTCTGTATTTCTGGGGTAATGTCCTGTTATTTCTGCAGTGTCTGTTGGACCCTGATGCATCAGCAGACCTGACATTTACTTCCTTTAGAATGCTGTGAAGTCAGAGAAGAGTTTGAGAGTAGTCCTGCTGATCTGAAAGCTTCTGAGGCTCCAAGTTTAGGATTGTCTCTTCTGCCAGAGAACCTTATTAACACAGCATATGGCTTTGTTAACTGAATGTCCCTGCTGGTAGACACCACCTTGCTGCGTATCACCTATCGCACTGTATTTTGATGGTTGGGTCTCTTCCACTGGACCTGACCAGGGTCATGGATTGCCCCATAGCACCATAGCCCTTGTCTGCCACTGTCCAATGGGCTGATACTCTTGTGCACATACTACCAGGTGAAGATAGCTGACCCTCAGAGTGGAAGGAGGCACTAGTGGGGACTTGAAGAACTGTCCTGAGGATAGGTACTACGTTTCCAGAGCCCCCATTCTCCTGCCTCAGTCTCCAGAGTATTGTGATTATAAGTGTGCTTCAGCTCATTGGTGCACCTTTCCAATTCACAAGCTACCCCTGCTTAACCTTTCCAGCCAGAATCTCCAGTAATAGAGGCTGAAGAAAAGATACGGGAGCCAGGCAGTGGTGGTACACTTTTTTAATTCCAGCACTTAGGAGGCAGAGGCAGGTGGATCTCTGGGCCAGCCTGGACTATGGAGCAAGTTCCAGGATATCCAAGGCTACACACACACACACACAAAAACAAACAAACAAACAAACAAACAAAAAACCCCAATAAATAAATAAACAAGATCTGGGAAAGCATCTCACGTACACTTCATGTACTGCTGTTCTTGAGTTCCAAGTGACACAGCTAATATATAGCCCTACTTCTTTCCCTTGTCACTCCATAGAAGACAAAGTTCAGAAGTGGGGCACCAAACTTCCAGATCATCTTCCAAACAGGTATCAATGGCAGGCCTATTCAGTGACAGCCTCATCAGTGACTTCCTATTCAGTGACTGCCTATACTATTCTCAGGGGAGAAAAAAGGGCTGCCCTTTGCTGTCCTAAAGGGTGAGTTCAGGGACTACTCCCCTAAAAGGGCTTTCCCAAGCTCCTCATGCTTCCAACCTGGGAAGGAGAAAGTAGCCCCTGAGCTCTGAGGACTGTACCCTGAGTCACCTACAGGAGAATACAATGCCAGCTGGACCCCAGCTATCAATGTCTGTCTGTGAACAGGCTTGCTATAGGCCCATTCTCTGCAGAGCACCTCTTTCCCATGAAGCTTGAACCCAAACATTAACTGATGTGTACTCCAGGTGAAGGCTCCCAGAGGGCAGTCTGTAGTTTTCACTCCTGGTGGGAGGTTTTCCTCAGGCAACCACCAATCAGAAGAGTCCATATGAACTGGCTATATCCTTACAATTCTTTCAGCTTTTCTTATTGTACTGGGGTCTCCAAGATGATTCATTCTGTATTCCTTTTCCAAATGAACATATGAATGGTTTTTTAAAATTAATTTATTTTTATTTTATTGGTGTTTTGCCTGATGTTTGTCTGTGTGAGCATGTTGGATCCTGGAGTTACAGACAGTTGTAAGCTGCCATGGTCCTCTGGAAGAGCAACCAGTGCTCTTAACCATGAGCCATCTCTCCAGCCCCATGATGATTTTTTAAAGCCCACCAAGGGGCTAAAGAGTTGTCTCAGAGGTTAAGAACATTTGATGCTTCAGCAGAGGACCCAGGTTCAGTTCCTATTTATCACCTATATGGTGGCTCACAACTATCCATAACTCCAGGTCCAGGGGATCCAAAAACACTATTCCGACCTCCTTGGGCACCAGGCATGTACATGGTGCACATACATGCATGCATGCAAAAACAACATCAAAAACCCTACCAAGAGCCTGGCGTTGGTGGCGCATGCCTTTAATCCCAGCACTCGGGAGGCAGAGGTAGGCGGATCTCTGTGAGTTCCAGGCCAGCATGGTCTACAGAGCGAGTTCCAGGACAGCCTCCAAAGCCACAGAGAAACCCTGTCTCGAAAAACCAAAAACACAACAACAAAAAAACCAAAAACCAAAAAAAAAAAAAAAAAAAAAAAAACCCTACCAAGTGTGGTGGTGAATGCCTTAATCCCAGAATTTAAGAGGTAGAGGCTGGTGGATTTCTGTGAGTTGGAGGCCTGCCTGGTCTTACATAGTAAGATTCTGTCTCAAAAAACAAAACAAACAAACAAACAAAAGGGTCCCATGGGGCCTGCTACATTCACAAATGGGAAGCCCTCACCATGTCCCCAAGTTGATGAGACCGGCGTGGGCAGAGACCTGACAACACAGGGAGGAAGGGAGCTGCCATTAACACTAATGAAGCAGGCAGGCTGAAAGCTTTTTACTCTGAAACCGTGTGCCCACCCTGGGAACAGTGCGTTCTGCTCCCTTGGTTTACAGAAACCCTAGGTGGAATGGGGCTTGGGGACAGGAACAGTGGTGGGGGTCTTAAAGAAGGGAAAGATGAGGTAGGGACAGAGGGTGTGGCTTTAGCTGGGAGAGGTTTTTTGACCTGTCTTCCAAAGAAACCTTGGGTCTAGTTTTTTACTCCACTCCTGGCTGGTGACACTCACTGGCCCTTTGGTGCCCTTGATCAAAGTTCCTGGAAGCAAAGAAAACAACATGCTATAAAGAGGCTAAGTGAACATCTGTGGGACCAGAAATTAAATTAAGATCACAGGGCCGCCTGTCTCATTATTGCTAATGGTTCTAGCCTGACCCATCCCTAGGTTCTGGTCTTATGGAAATTTTAGGGTCTGGACACCCTATTTTGTTCCCAAAATTTAATTGGTTCCTAGAGGCTTATGCCAAATTGGATAGGTACTTCTCCCAATAGTTAGGGTTCTAAGGAGAAAGCCAAACTGTGTCCCATTTTTTTCAGGGAGGGCCCCTCAAGCCCTGGCTGCAGGAAGCAGTCACGTGTGGGCCCTTTATTAGACCCTGCCATATAAGCTCAGGGCACAAGTGGCCAGCAACTCTTTAGGCAAGGATCAGCAAGCAAAGGTAAGTGCAAAGGCTAGACAGGAATTCTGACTTCCTGGGGTTATCTCTCTTGGCATTTGTAGGGTATTCTAAGGATGAGAGGAGACTTAATGGGGGGGTCTTTTCTGCTGAGCCAGGCATGCTGACTGTAATGCTGCTGAGCTGTGCCCTGCTGCTGGCATTGCCTCCCACGCTGGGGGTCCAGATGCGCTTGGCACCCCTGGAAGGCATCAGAAGGCCTGACCAGGCCCTGTTCCCAGAATTCCCAGGTGAGTATGGTCAGGGTGGGCATGTGTGGGGTGAGGACAATTGTTGGTCACAAATCTGCCTGTTCGGGCTAAGCCCTCATTCCCGAATCCCAATCCCAACCCTGGAGGTGCACACTTGGTGCATGGTGGGTGTGGCCCTCACATCCTCTGCTCCAGGTCTAAGTCTGAATGGCCCGAAGAGGACAACTGCAGACAGAACAGAAGAGGCTTTGCTGCAGAAGGCAGAAGCGTTGGCGGAGGTAACTCTTCAGGGAAAGGGATAAAGTAGCAGGTAGGCAGCATCAGATACTATCCTCTCTCCCCTCTTCTGGATCATCTAACCTGGGCAGAACTGTAGACCTTCCCTGCCCCACACTCCACTGACATCCTACTGGGCTCGGGGTGGGAGAGTTCCTGAACCTATGGTCAGACGTTCTTGTTCCTCTATGAATGCAGGTGCTAGATGCACAGAATCGCGAGACTCGTTCTCCGCGTCGCTGTGTACGGCTGCACGAGTCCTGTCTGGGACAGCAAGTACCTTGCTGCGATCCGTGCGCCACGTGCTACTGCCGCTTCTTCAATGCCTTTTGCTACTGCCGCAAGCTGGGTACTGCCACGAATCTCTGCAGCCGCACCTAATCAATGGATGTTGGGCAAAGGCAGAGTCGCGAATAAAGGACGGGACCAACCCTAAAGCTGTGGTTATTTTGAATGTGGCTGTCGAAGGGTTGTTGGTCTCACAGGAGGGTAGGGGGCGTCGTTATGCCGGAACTACACACACTACAACGATAACCTAACCTCAGGGTCTGGGCTACTCCATCTTTTGAGCCACGTCTACGGGCGATTTTTAAGGCACCAGGTCCCTGTGGGGAAAGCAGGAGGCCACACGCCAGCCTCAGAGAATCTAGGGTAACAAATGCAGGGAAAGCCGGCTTACGGGGTGTAAAGTCTAGCTGGTGGCTAAACATTGGTTTCAACCCCCCCCCCCCTTTCTCTGGACCTCTGGTAATGAGACAGTCTCGGCCGCGTAAGGAACAGCACACACGCTCACCTTTACCTGGTTGGCTCCAACGGAGCCACACAGAAGTGCCTAACTCGGGGACACTAAATTGAGGGCCCCGCTCGAATCCTGCGGGTATTAGCACCACCACGCGGTCGACCTCCCGCATTGCTGCTGCTTTGCTCTCCGCCAGGCACCCAAGGCCCGCCTCGCCTTAGTGCGCAGGCGCCCCAGAGGAGGGCTTGCGCGCCAGGCTACCCGGAAGCTGGGTACATTTAAAAGCCAGCCCGGCTGTGGTCACGTGAGACGCTTTGCGTCACCTGACGTACTTGACAGCCCTCTGCGGGCGCCGTGTCAGCTGATCTCGAAGTCGGGTTGCGTGCGGGCTCATCAGGGCTCTCTGGCCCCCCCGCTCCCGCCGCCCCCGCCGCAGCCATGTCGTTCTTCCCGGAGCTTTATTTCAACGTGGACAATGGCTACTTGGAGGGATTAGTGCGCGGCCTGAAAGCCGGGGTGCTCAGCCAGGCGGACTACCTCAACCTGGTGCAGTGCGAGACTCTGGAGGGTGAGCCGCGGGTACGGGCTGTATGAGGGGCCCAGAAAGGCCAGAATGGAGGCCGCCCTGAGCCGGGAAGCGGAAACGGAGGGTCTTGAAGGCCTGCGAGGCCTCTGGGAATCCACGAGCGGATGGCGGGCACGTCAGAAGGGAGTCTACCTGTGGTTACGGCTCTGTGCGGGGCCCAGACATAAACAAGACTTTAAAAACCGCAGTGGTTTGCCTCTGCTTAGGTTGCCTCTAACCTCGTTGAGCTAATCCTGTAATTTAGAAGGATGAGCCCCTGAGGATTGATTAGCCGGCTCGAAGTGTCCTCCTACAAACCTCTTCACCCTGGCCCAACCCAAGGCCTGCCGGGTGACAATGCATAGGGAAGTTAGGTGGAAAAGTCTCTCCCCTCCCCCAAGGTCTTTGGAATCATTGTGTTTTGGTGTTGGACTGCGTGTTGAGCCTTTCTGGGGAATTGGTAAGCCAGTTTGGTGAGAGGTTCCTCCCACCTTTGAACCGCTGGCTGTGCAGTGTCTTCCAGGTGGAATCTGAAGTTCGTGCACAAGTTATTAGCCCTAACTCCCACCCAACCCCCAGCGAGTGGGTACAGTAGTTTCCCACACAAGTGGCAGAAGCCCCCCCCTTTTTTTTTAAAGATTTTATTTTTTATTTATTACTTATACAGTCTATACAGTCTTCTGCCTGCATGCCAGCAGAGGGCACCGGATCTCATTCAAGGTGGTTGTCAGACACCATATGGTTGCTGGGAATTGAACTCCGGACCTTTGGAAGAAGGGTCAGTGTTCTTAACCGCTGCGCCATCTCTCCAGTCCTAGAAGCTCCTTTCTTAACACTAAATCTAGAGTAGCTGTTCTCAACATGTGGATGGCGACCCCCCTTGGGGTTGCCTAAAACCATAGGAAAACACAGATATTTACATTACAATTCATAACAATAGCAATGAAAATAATTTTATGATTGGGTGGTCACCACAACCTAAAGGGTCACAGCATTAAAGATTGAGAGCCACTACTCTAAATTTAGTAAAATGACTTTCAGACCCATCTGTAGCAAATTTACTAAGTTAGAGATGTCCCTAATTCCAGACCCTCCAACCTGGTGCTAGTGCAGGATGGGGATAAATGATTCCTTTGAAGAAAGATATTTATAGCTGGCAGGAGGAGGCTTGGTGATTACCCAATTTAGAAACTTTTCATCAGAACACCTCTAGAGTTAAATTGAGCTCATTCAGTTAGTATTTACCTTGAAAACTAGACCTGTCAAGTGAAAAATATTGTTAAAATAGGATACTTACTGAAGTTAAAGTGCAGTAGTAGATTTTATGATTTTAATGTTAACCTTCAAGGAAATTTGTTTACTTTCACTATATGAGTAGCAATGGGGAGGGGAGGATGCTTCAAGATGCTGGGTTGTGGGAACCAGCCACAAAACTTAGTTTGACTTCATTGTTGGAAGAGGAGAAATAGAGAGGCTGTCTGGGGCACAGCCTAATACCTAATTGGCACTTAATGTGAGTTCTGTGGATTCACTGGAACTTGAAGGTTTTTTTTTTTTTTTTTTCTGCTACAAAGATGTTTAGTTTTTTTCTTTGAGGAAGAGCCTTATTTGGGTAAATCTAAAGGTGAACACTATTGCCTTTTTTGGCTTCTCTTTTGGCTTTCCTTACTCCAGCTGCTGCCTGCTCCCCTGAAGAGTTTCTGGGAATCTGTGCTCCTGTGTTTCCAGCAGATACTCCATCATCAACAATAAACATACTAGGGCATTCTTCCTGCCAAACTGATAAGCAATGGGTCCCCTTGTGGAACATCATCCAGACCTTTAGGATAGCATTTAGGGACCCTTCCTCTTTCACACATACCCTTCCCTTTTATGCACAGTATACCCCAGCACAGATGTGATAGGACTTCAAAGTCCAGAAAACATGAATCTCAACCTGCCAATTCCTGGATTCCCTTAGACAAATTGTTTAACATCTCTGGACACAGAACTCAAGTCATCTGACATATAAGCAACATCCATCTCATAGAGGCTATGAAATGGCCACGGTGCTACTTCATGTAAAACACTTAGCCCAGCACCAAGAACCCAGTAAGGGTCAAAGACAAAAGTCTGAGTTCAGTAAATGTTAGCTTATATTGTCTGTTATAATTTGCTATTCTCTTTGCTTCCTTCTCCACCCATAAGCACTGGCCCACTACCACTTTTTTTCTCAGTGCTGTATTTGAGCCTTGTAGATACTTGGAAAGTGGTCTAAACTCTGAACTGTAGCCCCAGCCCTCTTTGTTGTTGTTCTGTTTTCAAGACAGGTAGCCCTGACTGTCCAGGAACTTACTCTGTAGACCAGGCTGGCCTCAAACTCAGTCATCTGTTTGCTTTTGCCTCTCAAGTGCTGGGATTAAAGTGTGCACCTCCACTTCCTGACTTCCAGCCCTCTTTTTTATTTTCATTTTGAGATTGGGCCTCTCTAAGTTACACTGGCTGGCTTGTACTCTGTAGCCTAGGCTGACTTTGATATTGTGTTCCACCTTAGCCTTCTAAATAGCTGGAATTGTTTTTGTATTTTTGTGTTTATTTTTAATTTTTTGTGCATATGTATGTGTGACATGTACATGTGAGTTTGGGTACTGTTGAGGGCCAGAGAAAGAGTTGCAGATGACTGTGAACCATGTGGATGCTGGGAATTGAAGCCAGGTTCTCTGGAAGAGCATCCAGTGCTGTTAATTGAGGCACCATCTCTTCAGCCCCTTATTTATTTATTTGTTTGTTTGTTTGTTTGTTTGGGACAGGATCTCACTCTGTAGCCAGGCTGGCTTAGAACTTACTGTATAAGACTCGACAGGAATTAGTGGTAATCCTCCCAGTGCTGAGTTTACAAGTGTGAGTTACCACACCTGGCTGCCTACCTCATCTTTGAAACTCTAACAGTGGTTGACTAGAATGTTGTTGCACCCATTCAATCACAACTCCTGTGATATTTGTTATTGATACTTTTCTAGACATTTCTTGACTTATGTTTGGTATCCCAGGGGCTTTGTATACTGGAAATGCACAGGGCCTTTAACGGCAGAACATAATCAGAAGCAGGGAAGAGGGCCAGGGAGATAGTTCAGCAGGTAAAGGCACTTGCTGCCAAGCCAGATGACTAGAGTTCAACCCTTAGGACCCAAATATGGAAAACCCAGCTCCCACAGGTTGTCTTCTGACCTCCATAGTGTGATACTTTTTGGTTGTTTTGAGACAGGGTTTCTCTGTGTAGCCCTGGCTTTCCTGGAGCTCACTTTGTTGACCAGACTGACTCTGACTCAGAGATCTTCCTGCCTCTGCCTCTCAAGTGCTGGAATTCAAAGCATAATTACCTCTGCCGGCTCAGAGTGGTGCTTTTAAAAATCATGAGGACCTAGAGATATGCCTCAGCAGTTAAGAACATTGGGTGCTCTTCCAGAGGACCCAGGTTCAATTCCTAATACCCTCATGACTCACTGGAGTTTGTAATGCTAGTCCCAGAGGATCCAGTACTTTTTTCTGGGCTTAATGGGCACTGTACCTACACAGTGTACAAACATACACACAGGCAAACACCCACACACATAAAATAACATGAAAAAACTTAAAAAGCAGGAATAGGGACCAAATCTCTATTTGTCTTTTACACAAAGGCTCTTTGTGATTTTTGAAGATGATACTGAAAGCCTGGGTAGATGTTATTGCTTTCCCCATCTTCAAGGGGAAGAGGGGAAAAGATGAGAAGTGAGGAAACCAAAGAAATTTGGGAATCCCAGTAAGATCTTTTTTTGGGGGACGGGTAGTTTGAGACAGGTCTCACCATGTAGCTCTGGTGTTTTGGAACTCACAGAGATCCCCCTGCCTCTGCCTCCCAAGTGCTGGGATTAAAGGTGTGGGCCACTATACCTGGTTCCCCAGTAAGCTTTAGGAATGCTGTGGGGTGGTAGAGATTTTTAAGAGACTGTTTCAGATATTGAGCAGTTTCTAGAAGGCAGAGGGCAGGACTAAGGGTGTTTGTTTGCTATGCAAGACAGTTTGTAAGTAAAAGACAGGTGCAATGGTGTACAATGTGTCTGTAATCCCATACTCAAGAAGGTTGGAGAATCGAGTTCAAGACAGTCTTGGGA